ATTGTTAAAATAACCGCGTCATCCGCAGCTCTAAACTTGGCGCCGGCGAGCGTCCGGAGAGAGAGAGAGAAAGCGCACGGAGCTGAAAGGGCTTGAATAAAGCGCGTTTGGCCTTTGATAAAAATACTAGAAGATACAGCGCTGAAAGATATTTGCCATAAACGACCCTGAGCGCTTGTTATGTGATCCGCTCCGCTGTTTTGACGCGCTGCTCACTTAAAATGGTGCTGTGTTACGGCTCGCGGTCCGGATGGATGCAGCGGTGCGGATGCGGTCCGCCGACGAGGAAGAAGTTGGGGTGATGCGATCTTTATATAGGCGGAGCAAAATACTTAATCGCTCCGTCTATAGCGCATTGTGATTGGATGGTTTACACTGTCAATACAGGAGACAAACCAATGGGCCAATGGCTGCTCGCTGTCCGTGCGTGATGGTCCTTGGCAAAAAAATAAAATAAAATAAATAAACCTTCTGTCGGCCCCTTACACTGTAAAAATTTTTCGCCCCTTTCAACTTAAAAACGTAAGTTTTGTGGCTGCCTTCAATTTTTAAGTTAAATCAACTTAAAAGTACAAGTCATTTCAACTCATATACTATATATATAAATAAATGTTTACCTATACATAAGTAAAAAAAATACAGACTATACGGATGCTTCACATAAACACTGCACCTATACACAGCTAACCTACTGACAGATTTGTATACAGATATGTATACAACAAGGGCACAAAAGTAGCAAAAAACTGGCAAGAAAATGTCATACAAAGCTGAAAATACACTCATACCTCTTGGGAAACAACCACTGAGAAAAGCTTGAAAAAAACACACATACATGTCCATTACAGTCCTTTAAAAGGAGAAAGGTGTCCTGCAGTGCACCATCGTAGTCTTCGTATTAGGAGGCCAGCTTGCACGCCCTTCTTGGGTGTATGAAGTGTCTCACCATGAGCCTTTAAAATCAGAAAATAACAGTAAAAATTACAAACAGTTGGTTATTCTATATACAATACACACTGACAGACTTCAATATACACAAATGAAACACATTCAATGTTTTGAATAACAAAAAAAAAGTGAAGCTTGTTTAAAGCAGGGGGGTCGAAACTCCTCTGGTTTAAACTTTTCCTATGCTGCTTTTGTGAGTAATAGGAATGTAACAATGTACTCAAAGTCGGATGAAAATCGATGCAGATATGTGCTGCAAGTTGATTGAGACGTTAAATAAATCAAGATATGCGTTTTTAAACACCAAGGGCTGCTGAAACTGTATACTGTGACCGCGCTTTACAAGCACTATAGCAGCAAACATTTTGCCAAGTTAATAAATAGTAGCAAACATGATGGCGGCAGGGTAGATTTTTGATGAGGTGTGAGAGAGGTTTGGCTTTCTGACTACAATAAATGTAAGCGATGAGGTGGCAACAGACAAAACAAAAACTGTGTAAATACACGTACAATGTCATAAAGGGTTTGTTCAACCAAAAATGAAAATTCTGTCATCAATTACTCACCCTCATATAATTTCAAACCCATAAGACCTTTGTTCATCTTCAGAACACAAATGAGGATATTTTTGATGAAATTCGAGAGCTTTCTGACCCTCCATTGGCAGCAACGCAACTAAAACATTCAAGGTCCAGAACGGTAGAAAGACATCATTAAAGTAATCCATGTGACTCCTGTGGTTTAACCTCAATTTTATGAAGCAA